ATGAAGAAGGAACCTGGACTCTTTTTCTCTCAGACATTCTCTATATTCTCTCGGAATCAATTCTAACTTGATCGTTGGAGCTTCTTCCTGGGAACCTCTCGCAGACGTTGTCAAATGATCATCCCTTTTCTTTGTACTATGATATTAGGAGAAGGAACCAGCTCGACACCCACCCTTAATCTCTATCCTACAATCTCCGACATATCACAACATTTGGCGCCATCCGGATGCATCTCCAGAACGATACATCCACGAAGCAAAACCAAAGAGCAAAGATGGCAGGCAAAATTCCGGCGATGTCAGGGGTAGCAGAGAAAAGCCCAGTGCTTCCAATGCAGGCATCAGATGGAGGGTAAGTTTCCATACAGGAAGAATACACTTCAAATCGCACGCTAGTCTCACAGACACAATCCAACTCTGTAGCTGAAACGGCGACAACCTACATAGCCAGTCTATGGCATCCAATAGTTAACCCCTCTCAGCAAGCAACAATTGTAATGACAACTCCATAGATTGTCTCAACACAGAAAACCGATGTAAGTCCTGTTCTAAAATATTCATTTATGGAATTTCAGAGGCCAAGGCTAGGGGCATTTTAGTCCTTTATTAAATTTAGAGGTATTATTCGAGAAGTTTTCAGGTCGGAGTGTGTTGTTAGAAGCATAGGATTTCTCGCCACCTTTCCGTGGATATAAAGTTCATCAGAAACGGATCTAGAATGAAGGAGTTATGACACTTTGAAGATTCGGCAAGAATGACCCTTATAGAGAAAAGTTTGCATGGAAGACCATGCATGCAGGTTGGGGCACGCGTGGTACGCCCAATGTAAGCTGGGTTACACCCAGTGTAATGGGGCAATTTGGTCGCGGGTGTTCAAGGCGTACGCCCAACGTACGAGGAGGTACACCCAACGTATGCTAAAGATCATAAAACCCTATTTTTGGGTTAAGCACTAATGCACTATATAAAGGACATTATGGTTCCAACCCTAGCCCCCATATCAGCCTCCCCAACCTCAAAATAAATCCTAGAACATCCCTACCTTCATTTTATGAGATCTTGACCTTGGAGAACCCATTTTCGTGGATTAAAGCTTGGAAGCAAAGAGAAGAAGGTTGGCAAGGTGGAACCTTGGAAGCTAGAGCTTGTAGATCTGGGATAAGTGCTTCATTTCGGACCTCTGCAAGGTAAAAAGTCTTGAGCTTGATGATTAACCTCTTAGATCTCCTTAGTACAAGTTTATGGAACTTTTTGGTCCCAAGATTAGGACTTTATGACTTAAGCTCGTTTCTAAGACCAGGGTTGCCTCCCTTAGAGTCATATGAGTCCCATAAGCAGTAAAGTTCCAACCATTATGGTCCTATTAAGTCCATGCTTGAGATCTAGTCCCCTTTATGAAAGCAGAAATTTAGTTTGGGAGTTTGAGTTGGTTTGGACCATATAAAGCCACCAAGTCAGTGACTTTATGGCTTAAGACATGGAATAAGGTTTGGATCTGAGTTTGTAGCTTCTGAATCGAGGTATTAAGCACTTAATAGAAAGTTGGCTTATCAAGGTATTAAGCTAGCGTACGTGAAGGTACACCCAACATACGCGTCTTCAAGCCTGTACGCTAAGCGTACATTGGAATACGCCCCACATAATTTTGCCAGATGGGTTTTGAGCATTTGGGCCTCGGTGTGTGCTGTGTTTTGGACTATAGGTCCTTGGGCCTTAGTGGGCCAGCAGAAGTCAGATTATGGGCCAAGGGAAGTTTGGGCTCAGGAAGGGCTATATGTGAAGTAGGCCCAATTTAGTATAATTGGGCCATTGGTGGGTTTGGGCCATGATTATGACCCACACTATAGTAGGGGTAAAATAGTCATTTTACCCATCGAAATATTCCCCTTTGATTTAGTGTTTGACTTGTCATGATAGTCGGAGAGCAGCCGGGACAGCAGTCGAGGATCTTTCACTTGAGTTTTTAGTAGTCAGCATTCCGAGGTGAGTTTTCTTCCAGTAGGAACGGGTCTAAGGCCACAATACCGACCCGTTTAAGTTAGCAGTAGTTTCCGAACTTCGGTCCAATTCAGTAGTTAGCATGTTTGATGCCTTCGTGGCTCAAACAGGATTTATGTGTTACATGTTCCGGGCTACGACCCGGTGCAGTATGCAATATACGTGTTCTTGCTAGTTGATATGTTATGCTATGCTATGTTCAGTTAGTCCGGAATTCGGTTCGCTGTAGTTAGTCCGGACTTTAGTCTGATGCAGGGGACAAGGTCCCAGTCAGTTCTGGACTTCGGTCCGATGCAGGGGGGGCAAGGCCCCAGTTAGTCCGGACTTTGGTCCAATGCAGGGGACAAGGTCCCAGTTAGTTCTGGACTTCGGTCCGATGCAGGGGGTAAGGCCCCAGTTAGTCCGGACTTTGGTCCGATGCAGGGGACAAGGTCCCAGTCAGTTCCGGACTTCGGTCTGATGTAGGGGGCAAGGCCCCAGTTAGTCCGGACCTCGGTCTGATGCAGTGGGCTAGGCCCAGTATGCGCTATATATGTTATTGTATGGTATGTGGTAGTTTGGGGGAGCTCACTAAGCCTTGTGCTTACGATTTCAATTTTGGTTTCAGGTACTTCTTCCAGTAAGGGGAAGAGCTCGAGATGATGGCATGGCACACACCACAACTTCAATTTAGCCTGGGAATTTACTCTGATCTTTTGATATGATTGATACAGTCCTTCTTTTGAATCCTGTTACTATGACTTTGAATTACTCGTTCCATGGTTTTATTTTATATAATGTTTGATGTTGTGATTCTAGTAATATTAGAACAAAATTTTTTGGGTCTTATTTTGGGTCATTACAACCGAGATACATGTTTCTCAGCAACAAATGTTTCCACACAGTTCGGGCACTGGAGCCTGGATCCCTCACAATATTCAACCGCAATCACAATATTTATTGGTGATCTACCCACACGCCACCAAGGCAGGCATGCCCCACGTCCTGCTGTTCATACAACAACCATCAGTGTTCAACCTGTTCGTACAACATGCTCAAGTTCCAATCCCAGAAGTATCTCAGCCGCAAGTCACAGGCATGCAGACCTCGATCAACTAGGCATCCAACTCCTATGGACCTGGCGTACATTTCTCTGTAGCACCATAATTCACCCCTTTCATGGCGACTGCTCAACCATTCAACCCATTTGCACAATAGTGCACGAGAGCAAACCCATATATAGTTCACCCAACAGGGTAGCAAGCATTTTAGCAATTTATGTCACATCCAAACTTGCAACAATATCAACCGTACATCTTGCTAACAGCCATGTACAACCAGATGTACGCGAACCCCTACCAGGCGCAACAACATTTGGACTATGGTGGTATGCCGTACTTGTATATGGACAATCCCATGCGAAGTGTAAGCTCTAATTTCAGCCATGAACTACTACAATACGAGATCCCACACATTGCGATGATACCAAACATGTCGAAATACGAAAACACTTCTGACCCAGATGACCACATCGACAAGTACGAGTGGACGATGACATCTCTTAAGATGAATCGTTGCTTCACTTGCACCTATTTTCCATACACCCTAACAGGAAACACAGGAAACTGGTTCAAGTCTCTAAGACCATGTAGTATTTTGAATTTTGAGCAACTGAAATTCTTTTTCCTCAACAACTTCATGCAGTTGAGGAAAGGAAAAGGGGATGCTAACTCTGTGATGGTGTGTAAGCAAAGAGAAGGAGAGTCGATTCGTGCTTACTACGATCAATTCACTTTAGCTATCTTGAAAGTCCGAAGACATTAAGAGTTCCTGGTGACGGGCGCCTTTGCTCAAGGTCTGCTTCCAAGGCTCCTATCTAAGAAGATGCAAGGGATAGTCCCCAAATCTAGGGATGAGCTCAAGTTGCGAGTGAAAAAATACCTGAGACAAATTGAAGGAGAAGAGCGAAAGGAGGCCAATCTCAAAGCCGTAGACAACGCGTACATCAAACAGGAGGAGGCGGCATCCCGACCATGTTCAACATAGCAGGAGAGCAAGAGGGTAACCAACAGAAACACAATCGCCACTCTAGACACATTTCATGGAGGTACAGGCCGTTCAACAAAGATGCCAATAGGAATGGTCATGCAGATGTCCATGCAATCAACAAAACTCCACCAAAGGAGAGACATGAAGAGGCCAAGTTTTGCTAGTACCACAAGAGCAAAACTCATAATACCACCGAATGCACGGTGTTGAAAAGAGAGATAAATGAGAAGCATCTAGTTGGAAACATAGTTGAAATCGCAAAAGAACTCAAAACAAAATTTGATGAAGACCAATACCTGCCTAGAAATCAAAAAGATGGGGGAAAGGGCTATGATAAGAGGCCAAAGATACTAACTATCACTGGGGCTTGCCCATGCAGCAATTGTCAAGGCCAACAAACCAGCGCCACACTATACAATCAAAACATACTTAACATATCCTTTTCAATGAGTGATCATTGGGATCCGAATGACCCATTACACATCATAAGGTTCATTAGTCAAAAACATGTTAAGCATGTATACATTGATAATGGAAGCAGGGTCAATGTAAGTACTGCCTTTGGTGGTTGCCAATCGAGTGGAAAAGTACCTCCAACCACCACAGCAGGGCCTGCTAGTTGGCTTTACTGGTCATGGGATCTGGCTAGCAGGCACAATCATGCTCCCATTTGCACTAGTCAGCCATGCTGGGGCAGAGCAGATAATGAGAGTACTCGAGTTCTGGGTCGTTGACTGTCCGACAGAACAAAATATCCTACTAGGCCGACTCGCACTCTTTCAACTACAAGCGATTCCATCCACCCTCTATGGCATTCTCAAGTTCAACACAAGAGATGAGTCAGCGATGGTTGTAGAAAAAGGCCAGATAATGAATGCGGTACCCAATAAGAAATAAAGTAGGAAATCAGACCGTGTCAAAGTGAAAGTTTTCAGAAAGTGGTGAATCGACAGAGGAGATTAGCAACGGCAGAAATGCTGACCAACAAGTCAAGGAAAATGCTCAAAGATGCATTCAGACGACTCATAACATCCCAGTCACAGAAAGAAGCGTACAGTGATCCGAAGATAGTTCGGCCAGAACCTGGAGAAAAAATCGCAAGGCAGGGGAATGTCTACTCACGGGAAGGAGCACAAGTACAACCTGCAATCTGTGGCCATGCTATGCCCAGGGGAAGAATGATTCGAGACTCGAATAGACTCTTAACTAGTCTTGAAGATGAACAAAACCCATTTGGGATGAAGAAGCTGGTCACTGATAACAACACAGATAGTAACAGAGCATCAATCAGTCTAGCATATAAGATCCACTGTAGAGAGGAGCCAAGCGGGGTCTCTGATGCCAAAAACAAAACCCCGAATAACCATGCGAAACACAAGATTAATTGGCACGTGCAAAAAAGGGCAAGCGACATTCTCACCCAGTCAAGGGGAGACACTCCCCAAGGTCACAACACATATTGGGCCAAGGAACAGAGGAAGTGCGAGCACCAACAAAGCATGGAAGATGAAATTCATCTCTTTCACACCCAGTAAAATATCAAAGAGGCATACGTCTCCCGTGTTAAAGAAAATCAACAACAAAAATATCAAACCTGTTTCAAAAACACAACATTCAACAAGACAAGTTGCACCTTAGACACCCCAGATAGTTTGACATGCGGTGGTGGGATAAATTCACACCAAGACCTGGTAGTGGAAACAGAAAGGGACACTGCATAGTGCCCGAATGAAAATAAAACAAAGGCTGAGAAAAGGGAGTATGGTCAGACTCTGCATAGGATAAGCATACTCCAAGTGCTAGCACGGAGACCAGGTCCGCGCCCTGGCACTTAGACATTTAGAGTCTAATGTTTTGTGATTTTCCTTTTTATAGTCAATATAATTTTTTCTTTGAAAGAGCTTTCCAGAATTCTATTTAACCAATTGCAAAAACACAAAGTAAAGAGGTTGTGTATATTTTCCAAGTAGTAACAACGACTGATCACCTATGCTACTTGAGCAAAATCTATACAAAGATGCAACCATAGGTCTCAAAGAATCACAATCTTTACCTAAAACTTGCCAATAACATCTCAGAGCTGAGAATGTACAAAATTTAATTAATGGCATGAAAAAAGGGGTCCCAAAAAGATTCATAACATTTCCCTTGAAAATTAGACAGCAAAAAGGTCTTGAGGTGACGATCTCGGCCAAAACACAGGTAACTAAACCTCAAAGTATATAGCCAAGAACATAGGCTAACATTTCACGAATTAATGTAAGAAACCCGACTAAATATACAAGTCAATGGTTGTCGAAAGTATATAAGCCAACAGTAGCGGTTACACGACGTCCAAAACACACACTAGCTAATTAATGCAAATCCTAGAACAAGGGAATATGTAGAAAAAAATTACGATAGAAATGTCAAATAATCTTAGTCTAAGGATATCATTGGTCAATGCAAAATACAAAAAAGCATTCAAATACCAAGTTCAAAGCACAAACTACATAGTTCTTAGTTGTTGGCAACTAATATCTTTCATTACACATACAATACAAGGGAGTGTGGATACATTACAAAATAAACAAAAGGGGACAAACAAGAATCAATCCGAAGAGTCCGAGTAAGAACCTCCTGGACCCGGCCTACAACAGAATCGACGGAAGCTGTCATAGTCTAGCTCCCCTAGACGAAAGTGGCTTGAAAAATCTATCTCAGTGAGGGACGAAAGGGAAACATCCACCTCTTCGGCCTTTTCCAAAACATGTTCAAGGCCCGGGGCGTTAGATTCCCAAGAAGTTACCGGACAACGGGCCAACTGTTTCCTTTTTCCAGTCTAAGGGCCTCACACGCCTTTTGTAAACCTTGGATCCCACTGGAAATTTCTTCACTTTCAATAACCTTATCGATTACTCAGACCACACCCTTTTCCAACACCCATTGCAAGTTGCCACGAGCAACAACACTATCAACCTGGGCACGGGCTAGTTGATGTTGGCACCTGGCCAACTCCCTCGCCAGAACACCCTTCTCTCGAGCTAGAGGACTCACTTGATTTTCAAGTCGCTCTGCTTGGTCTTCCAGAGTGGCCACATTGTAACATCCTGGTTCCAGGGTATATCATTTCTATAGTTATAATGAGTTTCATGGGCGACTCGACGATTTGATGCCTCAACTCGTCGAGTAGGGTCGCGTTAGGTGACGAGGATTAATGAGCTGGCTCGATGAGTCTGTGTTCCGACTCGCTGAGTTAGCGTTGGCAAAGGAAACCCTAAACTTTCAGGCATGCGACCTATTTAAAGGCATTTATAGCCTCATTTGCGGCTCATCTTCTATTGAACTATCCTGTGTGAAACCCTAGGCGGCCATGGAAGCTAAGAGAGAGTCCTTGAGCTTGTATCAAATGTTTTGTTGGATCTTTTTGGAAGAAGAGGAGTGAGCTTCAAGAAAGGAGTGGGATGAGGCTGTGGGATCTAGCATTTCTTCTCTAAGAGCTTCTCTGGAAGGTAAAAAGCCCACATCTTTCTCATCTATTTAGTTGGATCTCATATCTATGGAGATTTAGGGCTTTTTCTCATTTTGGTTGGGTTCTTGAGTAACATGTGTTATCAAGAAGTCTAGACCTCAGATTTGGACCTTGTGAGGTCCTTAGAGTATAGATGTCCCTACTTTATTCATCTTTAAGAGGGTTTTTGGGCTTAATCATTCATGAAAGGCATGTATTAGAATTTTGGAGCAATAACCTCATGTATGAACGTAAATATAGAAGCTTTATGTGATTTTTGAGCCTTGGTATGATAGATATAGTGTTGCGGGGGGCCATAGTACTCACTAGTCAGTGAGTGGTTGTTGTGATGTTACGGGGAGCCGTAGTACTCACTAGTCAGTGAGAGGTTGTTGTGATGTTGTAGGGAGCCATAGTACTCACTAGTTAGTGAGAGGTTGTTGTGATGTTTCGGGGAGCCGTAGTTCGCAATAGCCAGCGAGAGGGTGTTGTGACGAGTACTCTCCGGTCAGAGTAAGATGTAGATGAGTTTTAGGCTTGGGTAGCACTAATAATTGAATTTTTGGGGGCCTGGTGGCCGAACTAAGGGTGAGACTAGGGTCTCCATGTTTGTCGAGAATTGTTATACTTGGATTGGAGTTGTGGTTGTCACAACCCAAGGGAATTCGAGAAGTGCTATATGCGCGGGTCGCGAATCATGGGTCATGAGTTGAGTGCTTTATTGGGATGAGTGGTTCCAACTCTGGGTTGGACCAAACTCTCGAGTTCGAGTTTGGCTCTGGTGGTGCATTGGGTAAGCGAGATGAGATTCTGGATTACGAGGTGGACTCTATGATGGGGGAAATTGTTTATAATCTGATGTCGTAGACTGGTGTACGTCAGTACTCGGGTATATGGGAGGTACCGCGAGATGCATGGAACTATGAGCAGTAGATGATAGAGGTCGGGGTTGAGTTGATCTTCCGTTGGGAGTGTAGCATTCGCTTGGGGTAAGGCGAACTTCGTGACTTGTGTGTCACAATGGGCCGATGTAGTTATTGTGTGAAGGAAACCATTAAGACGGTTAAGATAGTGCAATGGATAACGTTGGAGGTTCATCTGCTAGGTCGAGATCAAACCTGATGCACAATGTTAAAAAGGGATATGAGAAATGGAGCTGAGACTTATGATATTTAGATGTCTGAGGATACTTTTGAGCGAGCATGATTATTCTCTTGTGTCCGAGGGCAGAGTGTTGAGAATTCATTGTTCGGACAGGTTCTGATAGCAGATTCAGTGGATGAGCCCTGGTAGGATGTGAACCTTTTCATTTCTTGGGGCACGATTCGGATCGTTACTATGTTGGTATGTGTGATCGGTAGCCGATTGTTAGCTTATGTCTGGAGAGAATCAGAGGGGTCGGTTTTATTCCGGATTTGGGAGTTCTTGTTTGGTTTCAGGTGTCCATAGAAGAGATATCGGTGGGGTATGAGGCCCTCTTCAGTGCTGTTTTCCGAGTTATAGGTTCGAGCTATGTGTGGATGAAGAGCGATTTCGAGGGTGAAATCAAATTAAGTGAGGGAGAATTGTAACATCCTAGTTCCAGGGTATATCATTTCTATAGTTATAATGAGTTTCATGGGCGACTCGATGAGTTGATGCCTCAACTCGTCGAGTAAGGTCGTGTTGGGTGACGAGGATTAATGAGCTGGCTCGACGAGTCTGTGTTCCGAATCGCTGAGTCAGTGCTGCCGAAGGAAACCCTAAACTTTCAGGCATGCGACCTATTTAAAGGCATTTATAGCATCATTTGCAGCTCATCTTCTATTCAACTCTCCTGTATGAAACCCTAGGCAGCCATGGAAGCTAAGAGAGAGTCCTTGAACTTGTATCAAGTGTTTTATTGGATCTTTTTGGAAGAAGAGGAGTCAGCTTCAAGAAAGGAGTGGGATGAGGTTGTGGGATCTAGCATTTCTTCTCTAAGAGCTTCTCTGGAAGGTAAAAATCACACATCTTTCTCATCTATTTAGCTGGATCTCATATCTATGGAGATTTAGGGCTTTTTCTCATTTTGGTTGGGTTCTTGAGTAGCATGTGTTATCAAGAAGTCTAGACCTCAGATCTGGACCTTGTGAGGTCCTTAGAGTATAAATGTCCTAGCTTTATTCATCTTTAAGAGGTTTTTTGGGCTTAATCATTCATGAAAGGCATGTATTAGCATTTTGGAGCAATAACCTCATGTATGAAAATAAAGATCGAAGCTTTACATGATTTTTGAGCCTTGGTATGATAGATCTAGTGTTTAGAATGATAGATCTGATTGAAATCGTCTGAATGAACATTTGGTATGAATGAACTCGCCGAGTCAATGAGCCAACTCGACGAGTTGGTTAGGGTTTGTCCCGAAGAACTGAATCATGCGATAGCTCGACGAGTTGGGAGTCAACTCGACGAGCTGAGCTGGACTGTTACGAGACTTCTGAGGAAAATAAGTGGACTTGACGAGTCTTAGGGGTGCACTCGGTGAGTAAGGTCAAACATGGATTGTTGACTCAAGTTTGACTTTTGTCGACTTTGGGGTTTTGGTCAACATGAGTACTAGAGACCATGGAGGGGTAAAATGGTCTTTTATCCACTTCAAAAGAGTTAATGAGAGAAAGAATAGAATTTGGTCATTATAGTTGTGATTAGAGTATCACTTAGAGATATTCATTCCTTGTGTTAGGCGGAGGCTAGTTCGAGATTCGGGAGCGAGGTCTTTACTTGGTGCTTGTCAGGTGAGTCTTCTCACTACACTTTAACTTGAGTGGTAGTTATGTATGACCAGAAGGTCTTATGTGCTTACATTGAGTATTATGTTATCTTATTGTATGTGGTAGGCTATGCATTATGTCTTTGTGATTTATTCTATGTGGAGTTTATAGACTGGACCCGGAGGGTCCAACGATCTGTGAGGTCGGAAGGCTCATAACTAGACCAGATAGGAGGGTCCAATGAGCTAGACTGGACCAGAGGGTCCAATGAGCTACGGGACTGGAGGGTCCCGCTAAGACACATTCACCGGATGGGTCTTACAGAGTATCACCTCGAGTGGAGAATTGTTGTACGTGGTATTTCGGGGAACTCACTAAGCTTCATGCTTACCGTGTTATGTGTTTCAGGTACTTCTCAGGTTCACAGAATGGCGATGGCTTGATTGTACACGCGAGATAAAGAGTTATGTTTTGGAGGATCCTGGATAATTAATTAAACAATTATGGATTTGTGTTCTGTTAATTTGATAATTGGTACTTTTTGTGAAATGTATTATGAGGATTTTTGTGATTTTAAAATGAGAAATTTGTTTGAAAAATTCACGGTGTTACACACATGATCTTCTAAAGTAGCCTTCTCACAGGCCACAATGTAATATTTCTTGGATAGCCTCCGACATTCTGCCTCTGAATAACGGAATTCCCCCCACAAGCTAGCAACACCATCTTGTGAAGTTTTTAGTTGAGTTTCATTTATGCCATGGCGGCAAAACCGGTCAGCAGCAGCAACCATATGGGTGGAAGTTTGAGTAGCTGCGTACCGAAGGTCGCCGGCCATGTGTACACCCAATTGGGCCGCAAGCAACTTCATTGTGGCTGAAGGATGGGTATAGTAACTCCACTCCCAAGTGGCAATGTCTTCCGAAAGTAATGAGTCTTTAGTAACCGCCCATCCTGGAACATATGCTTTGGAATCCACGGGATGGGATGTAGTCCTCATTTTTTCAACCATGTAAGGTATCTCGGATGAAGGAAAGCCTCCTGAAACGCCTAATGCACCTCCAAGTACAGAACAAACACTTGGATCGGTCGTGAGCAAGTCAATAAACGGAGAAGGCGATGTCTTTGAAGAACTGGGCACCACTACTATCTCTTTCCACCCGGGTGCAGAAAACCCATCACCAAGAACATCCCCAATAACGCCAAGAAGCTTGGGCACGAACACTGTGTTTTGCCTCTTACGAGGATGGAGGCCCACATTATCAGATTCAGTCTCTTTGTCTGACGACAGCACCATGTGCGCACTTTGTTTTCTCTAGAAATGAGTAGTACTTTTTCCTACTTGACCCACCATATGAATATCGGCAGAAGCAGAGGCCAGAGAACAGACGATGAAAGTACCCCCAACACTCGGTTGAGAAGACGAGGCAGGTCCGCTAGCACCAATATTTCCCCTTCTTTCGGGAGCAATCCAGCAAGCTCCCGCATATGTTTTTTTAGATACAGGAGGGGGAAGAGTCTTCACAAGGTCAACCTACCGGTGACAAAGCTTACCCTGATAATGGCCACAGAAGGCCATCTCCAAGGAAATCTCGGCTTTGGCACCTACAAACATAAATACCAAGCATGAGAACTGACAGACCAATAGAATACTCTATTCTTATTCTTCTAAAAAAAGCGGAAGGGGGGGGGGGAGAGGGAGATGAGTGAATACTGTTGGAATAGTGTCTAAGGCTGCAACTATATTAGGCAAGTATTTGACCCGATTGTGCATGGTCCTTTTGAGTTGCTTTCACCATAGCAACTTGATAGGATGATTTATTAAGAGAGAGTAAATATTATTAGTATATTATGAGAATAATATAAAGAATAATATATTAATATAAGTCATAGAATTAATTATAATTAATTTGGTGACTTAAATAGATTAAATAAATAAGAGGGTTTAAATTGTCAATTGCTTGATAGTTAAACTTTAGACTGTAAATTCTTATTGATAAAGGATTGGACGATTTCTAAGGCTAGGATAAGCCAAAATCGTCCATAGGGTTATCAAGGAAAGGATATGGATTAACTTAAAGTCTAAGTTATCCAATTAGGGTTTAAGATGTAACCCTTAAGGAGTCTACAAGTATAAATAGACCCTATGGCTGAGGGAATTCGGCATCCCATCTAAAGTAGAGAGACTCTGGCCGAATTCCTCTCCTCTCCTCTCTCCCAAATCATCCTCCTTGCTATTTGGTGTTTGTAAGCCATTAGAGGAGTGACAATTGTGACTCTAGAAGCTCCAAGATAACAAGATCAACAAGGAATTCAAAGGTATGATTCTAGATCTGTTTCAATATTGTTATTACACCTAAATAGTCATTAGAAGTCTTAGATTCAAAGCATGTTTGACTAGAAAGCCTAGATCCAAGCATTAGGGTTTTGCATGCGCACATAGGAAAGTTCTTATGGCTAAAACTCATCAGTGGTATCAGAGCCTAGCTTGGTTTTCATTGAATTGTTGCTTGATTGTATGAAACTAAACTGAAAAATTCAATTTTTATGTTTCCGAGTCATGGACTCGGCGAGTTCCAAAGTGGACTCGGCGAGTAGGCCTGACTCGGCGAGTCCCTTTGTGTACTCGGCGAGTCCGAGCGTCAGGATTAGCCAAAAACGGGATTTTTTCATATTTATCTTATGGAAACTTACCTTAATCATATTAGATCAACCCTAATCCGATTTTGTGATATATATGACTATATTTTTGATCTAATTGAAGATAATTATCAATTAATAAAATATTTGATTTCCTTATCCGATTTTGTTATTTGATCCTTTATGTTTTAAATGTTTAAAACTTGTCCTCAAGTTTTGAAATTTATGATTCGTGATTAAAAGGTTAATTTAGACAATTTAAATTTCAAACCCTAGAATTTTACAAGTTTAAAATACAACCCTATACTAATATAATATTACAAGATTAATATATATATATATATATATATATATATATATATATATATATATATATATATATATATATATATATATATATGTATAACTTAAATGCTAGTCTTACCGTTAGTAGGCCTCATTCACGAAGCCGGTCTATAAGGTGGGTATAAGGTTGCGGCCTATAAAATGGCGCTTAATGGGTGTACACTCACACCCACCGCTCGCTTGATTGGTGGAGGGTCGTTAGCCGAACGGGTAGGATAGGGCAACCTCATCCTCTCATTAAAAGTATAATAAGAAATACAAAGTAACTACATGTTTTCTTAAAATTTCCCAATCTTAGTTACTTTAGGAAAAGTGAATTGATGCAATCCCATGAAATTACACTTTGCACCTTGCTAAGAAGTTAGTGGAGCGTGTGTGGTTTACCGGCACACTAATTGGTTCTAAGCGAAGGTGGCAAAGGGTGATTCATTGTTTATCATAGTTCGATGGAGCGTGTGTGGTTTACCGGCACATCGAATAGGTGATCGTTACAATGAAGGCACCATTAATTTGCATGGTAATTCACACCCGCTTTGTGATCCTCGGTATCCCAGTCACAAACAAGAGGGGCATATCGAGATTTAAACATGCCATTGAAAAGTTTCAATGAATCTCATCCGAACCTAGGAATTCTCAATACATTTAGGACTTAAAGTTATGTTTTTCATGGTGGAGAATTAGTGAATCGTCATTCACTTACCTTCAAATTGTTTGCATATTAGATTACGCATCCCTTTTCTAATGTGTAAATATTGTTGTTGGATCCTAGCCCTAATTTCTTATTGGGTGAATATTAGGGATTCATATTCTAATCTATCTTTGTCCTTTTTTTAGATGTCGAACGCTAACAATGCTGCTGCGAGTTCTTTCACTTTGATGAGCCTTTGTCAAAAGGTCACCTTTGATGGAACGAACTTTAGCGAATGGATAAGATACATTCGCACGATTGCTCGCTATGAGGATAAGGAGTATGTCCTCGATGAGAAGCTCGAGAAAATCAACCCCGAAATCGCTACTCCCGCCGAAATCACCGCTTTCGAAACTCACGAGCGTGATGCAACGAAAGTGCATTGCATCATGATCGCGACTATGAACTCCGAATTCCAAAAGTCCTACGAGGACATGTATCCGTACGAAATGCATCAAGACTTATTGGAGCGATACCATCAAAACGCGAGACAAGAGCGTTATGAGATTTTCACGAACATGATTTCCGCTAAGATGGGTCATGGAGAATCTCTTACCGTGCACTTGCAAAAGATGCAAAGGTATGTCGACCGCCTTCGCAAGTTAAATGTTGACTTTGGGGAAGACTTGGCGATCGACATGGTGCTTCACTCTTTGCCTCCGAGCTACAATCAATTTAGGATGACCTATCACATGAACAAAGAAGAGGTCACCCTAAGCAAACTCCAAGGTCTCTTGAGGGTCGCTGAGAGCAACTTCAAGGACAAGTCTGTTGCACCAACTCCCAATCCGCCCGCTGCTCCTGTCTTGGCAATTGGACAAGGAAAAGGAAAGAAGAGGAAGGCTTCGTCAAAGAACCATCGCAAGGTGAAAGCCCGAGATGGTGCCTCTTCTAGTGGGACCAAAGTTGATCCCGCTAAGCCCTGCTCTAATCCGAAGGAGGCAGAGTGCCACCACTGCCACAAGATAGGACATTGGAAGAGAAGCTGCCCGGAGTACCTGCAAGCCATCAAGGAAGGAAAGATCAAGCCATCTTTCAGGTATATATACAATTAAATCTAATGATTCCCACAATACTTCTTGGGTTCTTGATACCGGTTGTGGTTACCACATTTGTTCTAATGTGCAGGGACTAAGAAGAAGTAGAGACGTGGAGCATGGAAGAATAAATCTAATCATGGGGAACAGAAGATCGTCGCCTGTGACCAAGATTGGAGTGTATTCTTTAGTGCTTAGGAATAGTTTATCTTTAGATTTGAACAATTGTTGCTATTCGCCAGAAATGGCTAGAAACATCATTTCTTTTCATGGTTTGTTTAGACAAGGTTTTAGATTTTCTTTTAATAATGAGAATGGTTCTATTTTAGCTTATCTAAATGGTGTCTTTTACTTTGAAGCTATACCATGTAATGGAATTTATGAAACTGTTATGATTGTTGATAACTTAGGAAATGATGTTTTGTACTTGGATTCTTCCAATAGTATGGATAAGGCATCCTTATGGCATTGTCGTCTTGGACATGTCAACAAGAAACGCATAGCCCAACTCCAAAAGGATGGAGTGTTGGAGTCATTCGACCTTAGGGAAGATGACACATGCGAGTCTTGTTTACTTGGAAAGATGACTAAGTCACCCTTCGCTGGTACGTGCGAAAGGGGTGAGGGTCTATTGGACCTCATACATACCGATGTGTGTGGACCGTTTAGATCTACCACGAAGGATGGTAACCGCTTCTACGTGACTTTTACCGATGACTATAGTAGATATGGGTATATCTACTTAATCAAGCAAAAGTCAGAAACTTTTGAAAAGTTCAAAGAGTTTAAGAATGAAGTGGAGAATCAATTGGGCAGGAAGATCAAGATGCTTCGATCCGATCGAGGAGGAGAGTACCTAAGTCTTGAATTCCACGATTATCTCAAGGAGTGTGGAATAGTTTCACAATTGACGCCACCTAGGACACCACAATTGAATGGTGTGGCAGAAAGGCGTAATCGAACCTTGTTGGACATGGTTCGCTCTATGATGAGTCGTGCTTCACTATCTATCTCTTTTTGGGGGTATGCCTTAGAGACTGCCGCCCATATCCTTAACCGAGTCCCTACTAAGAAGGTTGCCAAAACACCTCACGAGATGTGGACGGGGAAAGCTCCTTCGTTAGCACATATCAAGGTTTGGGGTTGCGAGGCTTTCGTAAGACGAGATACTCACGACAAGCTCGAACCTCGTAGTGAGCGATGTATTTTCATCGGCTACCCGCAGAAATCCTTTGGATATCTCTTCTATAGACCGAAGGACAATGTTGTCTTTGTTGCGAGGAGAGGAGTTTTCCGAGAGCGAGAACTCATAGGCCAAGGAGACAGTGGGAGGCAAATCGATCTTGAAGAGATTCAAGAGTCGATAGATGAAGGAACCTCAACCGCTGGCGCTCAACCCGAGGAGGAAACTCCGGTTGAACCAATTGACATATCATTACCTCTTAGACGTTCCGAAAGAGTTAGGTTTCAACCCCAGTTGTATGGTTTTCATATTACTACCGAAGGGGACACGTATATTAGTGATAGTACACTAATAAATCTTGATGAACCTAATAGCTATAAGGAAGCCATGGCAGGCCCGGAGTC